TAGCAGCTACGACTCTGCCCTTTCAGGTAAGTAGCAGCTACGACTTTGACCCTTCGGAAAGTCTACAGCTACGACCTCTGGACTGTCTAGACTCCTACCCGACAGGTCTACAGTTCGAATCCCCTATACCCTGTAACCTACGACACCCTACCTACCACTGGCGATCCTACAGGTCGCAGGTTCAACTCTATGGGTTGACACAGGTATTGTACACAGGTAAGGTGGAGATCTAGGGATCGAGCCCTGGGCTCTGCATCAGCTACTGTGAACTGGTGAATACCGTTTCACTTATCTTTACCCTGTGGATAGATAGCTTTAGTCTGTGTGCTATTAGGTATTAGTCACGAGGGGACAACCACAGAGACAGTGAATAGCACGCCGACTATAGTTAGCTTCAATTGCAACCTTAGTTTGAATAGGAATCTACAGAGCCCAAGCGGTCCGTTAGAAACCACGCCAGGGACACTGCGCATGGCCCCTGCGCAAGGATGACACGTGTAAATCGAGAAGTGGGCCATTTTTTTCAACAAAAAAAAGAAGAAACCACACCAGGGACCAATCTAAGGCCTCCTGGAGATGTCCTTCGGGGCGTCTGTCCGTCATAATTGGAAACGATACAGAGAAGATTAACACGGTCCCTGCACAAAGATGGCACACAAAAATCGAGAAACGCCTCCTAGAGATTATTGTTTTCTAGTGACAGTGCACAGCAGCCGACTGAGAGGAAGGGACTACTCAGATCGAGATAAAGTCCAGTGAGAGAATGCCAGGTCTTCATCCCCAAGTGAGTGAGTGTTTAGGGGTTGTACCGTCGTAGAAGCTGCCCCCTTTTTTTTTTTCAGTAGTAGTATGGCAAGGATATGCAAATCAGGGGTGGGGCAGTAGTACAGCCTTCCTTGAGCAGGAAGCAATCAATGAGGCTTGCATAGGGTCCCTTGCTTAATGGGTCAGCGAGTAAATTGATACAGCAACTTAAACCCTTAGGTGCAGGCCTAATGAAATTGTCCCAAAAAAATTAAAAAATAAAATAAAATGAAATTGTAGATAGCTGTACGAACTTGTATCAATTCGACCCGAAACCGGGTGAGGACCGTAGTGGAGGGAAGATCAGTTTTTAAAATTTGCTAATTTGAATAAACAAAATAATTAAAAATAATTAATTTCTGAAAATTTTCACTTAACCAGAACCAAAAACAAAATATGGGGAAAAAAGGATATCTTATGCAGCATTGCAATACAAAAATCTTTTGGCTGAGGGTGATCTACAAATCTGTAGCCAATTCCCYCCCCCCCCCCCCCCCCCCCMACAAAAAAAAAAAAACACCGAAATTATTTTTGTGGTGCAAGGGGTGGACCCACCCCTTGCCCGGATCGATCTGGACATCCGGATGTGAACAGTCCCTCGTAAATGCCTACTGGCTCCATAGAACTCTTGTTTTTTTTTGTCCGTTATTTTTTTAGACAAAGAGAAAAAAAAAGAAAGAAGAGAGTCTCCATGCACACATCTTACCTGCAACAAGCCCCCAAATTTTGCGACCCCCACTTTGGCCTTTCCCGCCACACAAATGTACTCTACGCCTTCTGATTCCTCTGTTGTGCCGGGATAGGTCACATTTACAAACTCCAGATTGCGCTTGGTTAACTTATCCTGTTGGATTTGAAAAATAACGGGAACAAAAAAAAAAAAAACAGAAATTTTCAAAAACCATTTTTCCTGTAGCCAAGTGGACATTTATTGCCAGAGTGGACAATTATTGCCAGAGTGGACATTTATTGCCAGGCTGCATCACTGCCACAGGCTTGTAGAATAGGCAGGAAACTGAGTCAGTCCGATGATAATATGTTAAGGCTGTCACCCTTCAACAAAACACGGATAAGTTGTGATAACTTATATAAGTTGATAAGTGGATTTTTTCAGGATCATTTGTGGGAATATCGCAAACACAAAAACTCAAAACAAATTTTATGGGAACCTGGGCCCGCTTTCCAGCAGGTGGAGCTCCCTACCAATAGAAAGGAGCCTTTAGCTGTCAAAAATAAAAATAAAAATAAATAAATAAATAATTTAAAATAAACAAATAAATAAACAAATAATTGAAATAAATAAATATTTAAGTAATTTAAATAAACATGTTTAAATTCTGTTCATAGTACTTCTTGCAAGGAAAATGTGCGATAGCGAACTTCAGAAATCAAACAGCATCATACACATGAGACCAGATAGTCGTGACCTCGAACCAACAGCAGAATTGCATCACGAGTTTCACCAAATAAGAGCACAGCAAAAGCTCATACTTGACAATGCTGGAATAGTCTCATCATCATCAACGGAGAACCAATGTTGATATCCTATCTGGCGCTCGGCGCCCAGACTACAGATGGCAGATCCTATCTAGCCTAATCTACAATGCCGCCGATGACGTCAACATCTCCCCGAAGTACGAGCAGATCTCGGCCAATGCCGTTCGCCTCAAGCACCAGGTCTGTCTCTTGTATCACTAACAACCTCGATCCCCAACTCACACATGCACCCAAGGACCACCATGCGCCCCATCCAGCATACAGCAGTGCAGCTCGGCTATGGCTGCCTGATCCTTCCAGCTCGCCCGTGAGCGCGTGAGCGCTGGCCAGCGTTAGCGCAGCAGCGCTTGCATAGCATGCAGCCAGTGCCCGCATGTCTCGTGCTGGGCCAGGCACCTTCCTAAATGGAAGTGACCTGCCTGCTTGCGTGCAGCCTGGCTGCGCTGGGCCCCTGCTCAGAAGCTTCCGGTAGGCCCAGGGAGGCTGAGCCCCAGTCCAAACGTATCAGGCCCTGGGCCTGCGGAGGTTGCCCTTTTCTAACTGCCCGCGGCCTGTGTTCGGTCCATTTAGCGAATCTGGCCCAGGGCCTGGCTCAGTTACATTCGTAAGAGGCAGCCTGGGCCTGGGCGCTCTTAACCAACTGGCGCTGCGGCAGCTGCGCAACTGCCTGAATTTCCCCAGTTGCGTGGTTGTAGGCCTTGGTCGAGCCTGCCTTCACTTAGGGCGGCTGACTGTACTGATAATAGGGCCCAGTAGGGCGTATCGAGGCCTTGAGCATCGCATTCTGTTCATACATTGAAGTACACCTGTAAAAGCATAAATGGTATTGTATCTGCCGTCTGGCTGATCAGTACACACTGCACAGTCCCAAACACATGTGACTTTTGGAAAACAGATCACGAGTTCAAATTTCAATACCTGTTGGGTACCATACTCTTAGGGGCTAATCCCCTTTTAAACCAGCACTACCTCCTAGACTCGCTTTGCCCAAGTGGAAAAGAACTGCGTGCCAAGCTTGCTGAAGTGTCAGCACCGCTCTGTTGATATTGTTTTTTTTTTTTCTTTTTTTATTTGTCGCCTGGCGCCATCAGCCATTTCCGAAATTTGCGGAATGATCCATTTTGGGGTTTTGACATTGCCTGTAAAAGGTGGTGATACCGTGATGGTTAAAAAAAAAAAAAAAAAAAAAAAAAAGAAGACATCTCCCCTTTGTTTAAAAATTATCGGGTAAACTGTACTAAACGGTAGTTACTGTACTATGTTGGCAGAACTACCACAGCAGCGAGGGTAAGGGACTCAAAAGGGAGATGTGCAATCCGCAAGCACTAATGAACACTCACACTTGACATCAGAGACAATCTCTTCCTCATGCAGGAGCCATGCTTATCTTCTCGGCATCATTCCATTTTTAACGGATGCACCGAGTGAGTTAGAGACAAACTGTTGTGTATGCACTGTGCAGTATTGTGAAGACACTCAGGGCATGATCGCACTAGCACTTTCCTACATGTACTCTGATAGCAATTACGGCCATACCTGAATGCATCTGACTGCGATCACCTCCAGAGCGAAGTCAAAAAAGTCCTAGTTGGGGTATGACCTCGATCGCATCCAGTAATGGCTTTCCCTATGTGTTCCTACTTTCAACAGCACCCCAACGGAGTCTTCATCAGTGGTGGGGACAACTTGCCAAACGCCAACCCTCCACCCTTAAGCCACCAGTACTTCGGAAAATTGTGCATTGTCAATCCAATGCATCTTCGTTCTCCAATCATGTGAGCCAGCCACGTTCACTTCATTCTACACATGCCTCCTTGCACCATCTTCAACAACACCTTGCCATTGCCCCTGTGGACAAAACATCGCACAATTTGGCAATTTGCTGCAAGAATTGGTATCAATTTCGTCTCCCTACCCATTTGGACAATCCCACTTATACTCGTCCTTGAGAGTCCGTTGCTGATGTCCTTGACCACCATGCAGTGTGGAATCACCATTGGGTTTACACCCACACTGATACCATACTTTACCTTTACTATGTACCATACTTGCGACGCATCGCGATGCGCTGCACTGCGCACGTGCGCCGCACCGCGCATCCCGCACGATGCGCGCGCACTGCATGCGGCGCACCTAAAAAAATGCGGGTCAAAAAAAAAAAAAAAAGTTGTGAGGGGCGGTAGTACACCCAGCCCCCTGCTCGTGTAAAATAAGAAACGGGCAGCCAAATTTTTTTTGGAGGCCGCGCATTGGCCTGAAAGTTTTTAGTAACCTGTAGTTCGGGTAACACTAAGTGTGTGTGGTAGGGTATTGCAGTCTGTATGGTAGGGTTCTTGCAGGCCAGATTCAGTCATGATGAGGGTCGCGATTTCTCAAAACGTTCTCTTCTTATTACTTCGGAAGTAGAAAACGACGGAACTGACAGCCGTTTTTCCTGGAATGTTTTTTTATTTTTTTTTTAAGGAAGAAAATCAGAATTTCTTTGCACGAGTGTCGCCCGGCACGTCCAACCTGTCAGAACCTCAACGGTAATTGCAGTCTGTATGGTAGGGTTCTTGCAGGCCAGATTCAGTCGCGATCTCTCAAAACGTTCTCTTCGTATTACTTCTGAAGTAGAAAACGACGGAACTGGCAGCCGTTTTTCCTGAATTTTTTTTTTTTTTAATAAAAGGAAAAAAACGTAAAGGAAGAACAGCTCTTTGCACGAGTGAAGCCCGGCGCGTCCAACCTGTCAGAACC